CGGTCAAATCTCATGCAAAATGATAATACTGATTATCAAATAGATTCCAGAAGAAAAAAAAAACACTGCAGCTCTTCACGGAAATTTTCAATTTTGCTAGTATAATCACAGATTGGTTCAATTTTTTTTAAAAGAGGAAAAAATGCCGCTTTCCTACACAAATACAATGAGCGCCTCCAGATAAGTCAAAGAGTCGAAAAACCATAAAAACGGTGCAGGACGCAAAAAACGTGGATAGAGGGTAGCGAAGGGCTTTTATCTGCAACCCAAGGATTTTCGTTTCGACATCGATCTTCAAATTATATGGGAAAACCTTTTTGCGCGAAATTCCTCTTTTGCCGTTTTCCGTGCTGCACTGTATTCCTCTTTGAGTTCGTTCAGCCTGCGCAACATCGCCGTGTCAACAGGAGCCTGAGGGGGTGCTGCTGGTGTTGGTTTCGAAGAGGATGCATGATCTTCCGCTTTCTCTTGCCCAACCAAATTTGACAGTTCGGCCTGCATAAAAAGCACTAATATTTAAGGTGAGAAACTATGAACCGGTTATTAAATTTTGAAATTTTTGACTCAACCACGGTTTTATCAAGCTTCTTCGATTCAATTTTCAACTTTTCAATTTTTATTTTTAACTCTGTCGGTATTTTTTTTTTCGATTTTTTCAACCAGCTTTTTTGGCTCAACTTTTCAATTTTTTTTACTCTGCCAGGATTTTTTTTTCGATTTTTTCAATCAGCTTTTTGGACTCAATTTCCAATTTTCCATTTTTTCTTTTTGGCTCAGCCAAGGTTTTTTCCAGTTTTTTTCCAAACGGTCAATTTCTTTAACTTTTTTTTGAAACTCTACCCCGCCTCCCCCTCACAGCTTGCAGCATGACAAGACGATTCTTTTAAATATGCACTACCTTACATATCCTAATCTAGGCTAAACTTTCGTTATCACTTATCTTAATCCAACTCGAACTCAGTAAAAAGAACCCTTTGTACGCCAGTTTGGAATTATGTGGATGAGACAGGCCTAAAATAGAGATAAATGGGGGAAATTCCAGATATTTTCAAGGTTTGAAAAGATTTAACGATGAAACAAACAAAGTGTCATAGTAAAAAATATTTTGAACGATTGCAATAATAATAATAATAATAATAATAATAATAATAATAATAATGATAATAATAATAATGATAATAAT